CATAAGAAAAAAAAAAAAAAAAAAACCTCTCCAAAAAAAAAAAAAAAATTATGTTTTCTGATTGTTTATTTTCTTAATCCTTCACTACTTTACGTGCTCCAAGAGAGTAAATGAAGCACTTTTAGAACCTAAAAGTATGACTGACATTACAGTAGGTATTTAACCCATTTTGTTATAGGTTCTCAATGAGTTTTTGCTCAATCATAAAGAAAAGAAAAAATTAATATATGTATTTGGTCCTTTCAAAATTTTTAAGGTTGAAAGTCTATTAATAAAAACTTACTTGGATCAAATAAGTACTCATATTTTTAATTACATTGCATTACAAAGAAAAGTACTCTTACAAAGTACAAAATACAAAGAAAATTAGCTTTAAGATCTGTCCTAAAATTTTATCAACAAAAGGCTTATATTTCAAATATCTTTTTGTCTTTATTTTCGAAGTAAGTCGTAGTATTTCATGTGAGCTATAATACAAAAGTTTCTATTTGAACCTCACAATGTTTAAAATGTATACATCTATTCTTCATCTCTTTGATATTTGGGAAGGCTAGGACAATTTGCCAAAACTCAAAGCAAAGCAACAGTGACATTCACATTGTAATCAGAAACATTTTATATTTCCTACATCTAATTTAATGCAATCTATTTTCACTGTACTTCTGCTGTTCAAAAATAGTAAAGAGGCCAGCCTTGTAGCACAGCAGTAAAAGGCTGCACAGAGAAACCCAGATCCCACATGTCTGATGAGGTTTTGTGTCTTGGCCCTGGTGGCTTGAAAAACATGCTGGGTGTGCATGTGCATACTAGAGATCCTGACAGTATGGAGAATTGGAGGCAAAAAAGAAAAAAAACTTGCAGAGTGACCAGGACCCATTGTTTTCTGTCTGTCTGTCTCTTTCCCGCCCTCAGTGCCATGTACGCACATACAGCCTCTTGGCACCTACGACAGTAATAACAATAATGACTAACTAGCATCTCTATACCTGCTCCTTATCGGATTCAAAACCAGGGTTTAAGCCCCTACATCTACAACTTGCTCTTTAAGGATGGCAAATTCTATACTTCTGATCTGTGATGCTGGGCAAACTTCAGGGAAAAACATCTTGGAGTCCTCACAGTTAGAGTGTTTCTTTTAACTCATAGCTGCAATTGGAAATCTACCCCTGTCATTATGGTCAGATAACATGGCAGTTATGGTTTCCCTGCTCTTGTATTTGCAAGTAGGTTTTAAAGAGGCTCTCTGGAAAAGCAGTCCACATAATTATAGTTATGATGTCCAGAAGCAAGGGCCTAAATTGAAAAAATCCACAAGATTGAAGCTTTTACCAAGAAACCAAAAATAAGGATACTGTTCTGTTTATTTGTTTAATAAACTGATTCTATCCATACCACAAAGTATTTGCAATGTTTGTTTAGAAGTTGGACAATTTTATTTAAGCTTTCTGACAATTCCAAGTTTCTTTTCCTACCCCTTAATTCTTACTGAGCTACAAATATTCTATCTCATTTTAAAGAAAGTCAGTTTTTCTAAATTGAGATAAGTTGTATAGGGATTTTTTACTTTCATTGCCATCACACAAATGCTTATACATAATGACAACAAAAAGTTGGACTAGAACTGATATACCAGAAGAATTTACTTAACTAATGCATTTCTTTTTTGAGCCTTTATTCTATTTTTTCACTTCATTACTTCAGAATTTCAGAAGCAATAATTTAGTACCATGAAAAAAATATAAAATAAAGTAAAATAAAAATTAAAAAATTTTTTTTTCTCAAATTCATCCCATTTGTCTTCGAAGATTCTGGTGTGGCATTAGTGAGCACATTTGGTTATCAAAATATATCTTCACAAGAATGCAACCAAAAAATTCACTTTAGAAGTTAATATTACATATATCGACTTCCAAAAATACCTACAAAAAGGAAAATTAAAAATAAGTAAGGATGGGCCAGCAGGTAGGATGGTGGTTGGGGCACTGTATTCCCACATGGCAAAATGCGGTTCAAGTTCCAGACCTGGGGGCTTGACAATCTCTACTGGTGCATGTGTGTGTACATCCAAAATCCCAGGAGAATGGAGAAGAAAGGGTTGCAGCATGGCCATCCTCCCATGGGGGTGATTTCTCAGTTTTCCTCTCACTATCTCTCTCTTTCTCCAGCAAGCATATATGCCCTATAAGAGAGAAACCTAAATTAAAAAGGAAAAAAAAAATATTGCAAGTAGGGCTAGACTCATCACCTAATACTTAAGGTAGCCAGATCACACATGGTCAGTTCAATGGTTCAAATCTTGGCCCTGGTGGCTTAAGAGTACACTGGGCATAGGTATGTGCATGCCCCAAATCCTGAGACAAGATGGAAAAATAAAGATAGGATTATGTCACAACCACACACCATTACGAGGTGCTTTCTCTCTCTTCCTCTCTCTCTCTCTTTGAAAAGCACATGCACTCTCAGGCAAATTAAAGAAGGAAAGAAAGGGGAAAAAAGAAAGAAAGAAGACTAAGAAGACGACTATTACTTTAATAGCGCTTAGAAAATCTGATCCAGAGCCAGTCTCATAGTGTGGCAATTCAGCCCTGTGTATAAGGAGCTGGATCCCACATGGCCAACTAAATCATGGCCTGGAGGCTTGAAAACATGCCAAGCACATGTGGATGTATGTGTGTCAAAAATCCTGACAGGATGAAGAAATAGAGGAAAAAAGATTGCAATGTGACCATGCTCCACTCCAACTGTGCCATGCCCTCTCACATTGGCAAACGCATGTATCCTCTGGCAATCTATTTTTTTAAAAAATATAATCAATCAGGTAACTATTAGATGACATTCTGTTAAAAAATGCAATCTAAGAGAGCAAAAAATAAAAAGTATAATGTTAACACAATGAAACAACTATCAGTGTTTAAGTGAGGAAAACATATGCTTACAATGAAGACCCATCATTTTCTATATACTGTAATTCCTTGTCATGGATAGCTCTTCAAGACATTTCTTATCTATATTCCAAAATTCTAAAAGCTTAGGTCTTTTTACATATATAAATTAGTTCATTCCTCTTAATAAAAAAGTATGATAACAGAGAGAGCGAGTGGTGTGGTGGTTAAGGTGGCTGGATCTTATGTGGCCAACAGCACAATTCCAGTCCTGGACTGGTAGCTTGTGCATGTGTATGCGTGCCCAAAATACCTAGAGGAAAATGGAGGAGGAGAGATGTGGTGTGGCCTTCTCTGCTGGGGGAACTTTCTCACTTTCTTTTTTTCTATATTTCGGTCCTTTCTGTATCTCTGTCTCTCTCTGGCAAGTACATGTGCCCCAGAGCAGGAATTAAAAAAAAAAAAAGTATGATAACAATCATTACTTCCTCAAAATAGAGCATGTAGGTAGATCAAAGAGATCTGTAAGTTATCTACCCTCTTGATAAATGAATGCATGTTTTAAATACTACAGAGAAAAGACCACACAACTTGGTAAGCACTTTGTCAAGATCTGGGGCAGAAGGGAAAAAAAAAAAAAAGAGAGAGAGAATATACATGATTAATTTCAAGCAAAAGATAATAGTTAAAGGGAAGCAGTTCTGGAGAGAAAACTTTCAGGGTAGATTTGGGATATTTTCTTATGCCAGAAAAAAAGAAAATGCTCAAAAAGTCTAATATGCCATATAAAAAATACCCAGGAAGTCAGCTTGAGAGGATGCTCTCTAATTTAGCATCAAAGATTAATGAGTGTAATTGATTTTAAAACACTGAATAAATAAAATTTAATATGTCCATAGCAACATATACACACATAAAAAGAGAAAGATAAACAGAAGAATATCTAACTTGCCTCTTAAGTGATTACACCAACTCCTCCTAAATTGGAAGAGGGAAATAGTGGCCTCGACATTTTTAGAGAACCATACTTTATCCCATTTGAGAAAATAAAGCTTTTCTTTACTGAGAAATGTCAGGAATTAATGCAAAAATATGACAGAATTAGAAACTCACTGTTCTATTAATACAAGCATTTTTATTTTTAAGAGGTTTTAGTTTTACGGCACATGTGCTTGCCAGAGAGAAAAACAGACAAAGTAAGAAATCATCCCCTAAGGGGGGATGGCCACACTGCAATCTCTTCTCTTCCATTCTCCTCCCAGGATCTTGGGCATGCATGCACACACACCTGGGTGATTTTCAAGTCATTGGGTCTGGGACTCAAACCATGGTAGGCCATGTGGATGTCCAGCGATGTAACAGCTATACCATCTGCTGGTCCCAATACAAGGATTTTAGGGGAAAAAAAATTGATTCAGGGAAGAACCATCAATACGTGCCTAAAACTCTTAGGGAAAATGTTGGGAAACAAAGTACCTACATAGTGCCAAAGTATTATCCCATAGGCTTTTGCTTCCAACAAAAGAAAAACTACATCTCTATTTTATATAAAGAACTTCATCATCCATGGATTTTGGCATCTGTGGGAGATACTGTAACTAATCCACCACAGATACCAAGGGATGATTGTATAATTTTATTTAAACAAGTGAAAAATTTATGAAAACAAAAAAGAACTAAACACTAGTAAATGTAATCTATCAGCAAATCCACAGTGATTCAAAAGGAATCATATCCTGCTTTCTTTTACTCAAAACTTATCAGTACCTTTTCATTATCCTGGTTGTGTTTAGTCATTGGTGATGTCGGTACATAAAGATCAGTTTCATCATTAACTGCATACTGTTTGCCAGACAGAAAATCCCGTAGTTGACTCTATAAGAAAATAGAGTATTACTAACAAAATATTTAACCAACTACACAGAATACTTCACATCTATCTCTACTAGTGTCACTACTGTTCCAGTGCGCAGAGTATTACCTGACATTTGTTGGCACTCATTAAGTATACAGAGATTTAACTTCAAAATAAAATGCTTCTATTCAGTAACAGTAGTACTCATATATTCACAGAGTTTAACAAGTTTACATTAAAAAGATAATCTTGGAAATTTAGTCAATTATTTTTTCAGTGGATGACAAAAATTAAAGACAAAGAAAAGTCTTAACTGAAGGACTCAGTGACTCGAGGACAATTTTTTTGTAATCCCTTTAATATGTAAATAACTCAATCTGACTAGGAGTGATTAGTCAGTGATTAGAAAATTAATTGTAGAAAAAGTGTATAAATGAGTAAAAATATTAAGGTAAGAACACTAATTGTACAGATAACCCACAGTAAATGCTTCTTTTAGAATGTATATAAGTAAATTTATATACTTATATTTATGTACTGTACTAAGAAACACACTATTTAATTATATAATAGTTCCCATGAATGAATAACTTACACAGAGGTATTTGCTTTCATTCTGCCACTACTACCACACATCTCCATATTATTCCATTTACTCTAACGAATCTAAGATTATATAAGTACATACCACACTTCACTCCTGATGAGTCAATCTGGAGGGAAGGCATACACTAAATTAACATAGCCCAATGAAGTCACAAACAACCTTTCCTCTCAGCCATGTGGTTTTAACTAAAATAGCTCACCAATATTTCCTCTTTAAAAGGTAATGAGATTTGTCATAATTCTACTGATACAATGAGCTGGTACTTACAGAGTTAATCATAAGAAAAAAAGCCTAAAATTTTGTTGTCCATCATATTTATAATTTTTCAGTTTAATCATTTTTTGTGGGGGAAAGATTTTTTACTACAGGGTATGTAAGCTCACCAGAAAGACAGAGAGAGAAAAGTGAGAAATCACCCCCCACGGGGGATGGCCACGCCACTATCCCTTCTCTTCCATTCTCCTCTCGGGACCTTAGGCACACACACACACGCACCCAGCGTAAGTTTAAGCCACCAGGTCCAGGACTCGAACCATGGTCGACCACATGGGAATCCAGTGGCATAGCCATTACACCAACTGCTGGCCCCTCAATTTAATCATTTAAGGTTAATGAAAAAATAATTTAGTCTTAGCAAATTTTGAATAGTCTTCACACTTGTGGTATCTATGTTTTCATAAGAGATGTTGAAAGTGAAGATTTATTTTTTCATAATGTTACCAAAAAAAGAATGAGTTATTACCTCTAGTTTTAACTTAACCTTTTAAGGTGCTTTAATATTTAACTATATGTAAAGTAAGTGGATTGTTACAGATCTGTGGATTTCAAACTATCCTGAGGTCCCTAAAACCTGTTCTAGATAGTCTCTTTTTCAACTACATGCAGATACAAAGGCAATTGTTTTTAATATACTTTATTCAAAACAATATATTGAGCAGAAACAAATGTGAGAATCCAGCTATTCTCTACCACGTACAACATTTAAGATATTTTCAAAAAAATGAAACAACGGGTCAAGCAGGTGGCATAGTGTTTAAGGTTCTAGATTCCCACATGGCAGACCATAGTTTGAGACCTGGATCAATGGCTTGAGAATCAAACTAGGTGCCTGTGCATACGTGCTGGAAATCCTAGGAGGACAATAGAGGAGAAGAGATTGGAGCATGGCCACCCCCTCACCCCAGGTGGTGATTTCTCAATTTCCCTCTCTGTCTCTTTCCGACAAGTGCACACACCCTATGGCAAAAAACTTTAAATAAATAAAAACAATGTCACTATTCTCACTATTTTTTAATTTTGGAAAATATCTTGTTCATAAAATGTTATTTCAGTTAATGTATAATAGGTTCATTATCAATATTTTAAAATAAATTTATAAATATTCTAAACATTTCTCTATTTTAATTTGGTAAATATCAACAGATATATCCCACATAAACAAAATCTCCTTGTAATTAGAAATAATGTAACGAGATCCTGAGACCTAAAAAATTTGACAACCAGGACTCTAAAAACTTTCTGAGATAAGCATAAAAATCTCAATATATTTGCTGTGGAATTATTCATTTTACTGATTTGTACATTTACTAAATCAATAAATTTCTACTCATTCTATTTTTATCCTCTTATTTACTTAAAATTAGTAAAATATTTTCCTAGTCAGTTGTTACCTTCCCTTTCCCTGTACTCAAATCAGACCCATGTTTTACTACCATTATTTAAAAGTAATAACAACTGTCATTGCCCCCCAAAAACTACACCATTTAGTAGTTTTAATTCTAAACTAATGTTGAAGTCACCCTTAGCATAAGCCTTCCATTTCAGTGCCTACATATTCCAGCCCACCCTTATCATTTTAATTCCATACACAGACACATAACATATACACAAACATATATAGTCCAAGGTTTATTGCTCACTAGCATCTTCTCCTAGATCGAGATTTGTTCCACTTCAATTATTCACTTTAATTTTAGAATTATTATTGGAAAAGTAAATTCTTCATAACAGATAAGAGCATGACATTCTAAATTTTTTAATATTTTGACAAATCTTTCCTTTAGTTTGACTAATAAACATATTGGTTGAGGATGAGATTCTCAGGTTGCAACACCTTCACATTATTCAATTTTTTATTAAATAACAAACTGAAAATATTTAAATTACAAATATTAAATAATAAAGTTAAATGAGAAAACTTATAATATTTATCTTTATCCTTAAGAGTTCAGGAATTTTACCAGGATTTACCTAGGTATGTGTATGTTCTCAACAATATAACCTGGAAATTGAAAAACACTCATCATCAGCATATTCAGATTTTATTTCAGCAAAGGGAAATATTTATTATAACACATGTCTTATGCATTTAATTATAGCCTCTTACACAACTTTTTTTTTTTTTTATCTTTTGGGGACTTATATCATTTGCATTTTAAATCCCTCAGATCTAACCTCCAAGCTCTTAACTTTTCCCCTCATGATTTCCTTATATATTTTCTCTGTGGCTTAAAAATTTAGTGTGTTTGATTTTCAGGGTACTAATTTTTATCTAAATTCATCTATAGTGTTGGGAACTCCTTCTCCTCCTTCTACTTCATTCTCAAGAAAGCGCTTTTTTAATGGATATAGAGATTAGAAGGAATTACTCTATAGTCATTTATTTATTATTCAATCATTCATTCTATGAGCAAAGGAGACAGAGAAAGAGACAGCACTCCCAACAAAATCTCAATACCATGATCTACTTCTAGACTTCAGTCAGCCCCAGATCATGAACATGCATATACCCAATGTACTCACAGACGCTTCCAGACTTGAACAGGTAACCTTCCCATGTGGAACTGTGTCATGGAGCATCATGTTTTACCACTGTACTACTATATGCCCCCTGATACATCATGATGTTACACAGTACATGTTGTTTTTCTACTTCTTTATGCTTTGTTTTCTTATTTGAAAAATTAATAAACATTTATCATTTTTATGAACATGAAAATGTTATAACCTAATAATCAATACTTACTATACAAAAGAAAAGGAGAGCAACCCATAGCCTAGTGTTTAAGGGGGCTAGATCCCACAACGATGGCCATAGTTCAAATTCCAAGCTGGCAGCTTGAAAAACATGTGGGGAGGGTGGGTGCACATGTCCAAAATTCCAACAGGATAGAGAAATGAAAGAGAAGGGATTGTGGCATGACGATACCCCACTGGAGGGTGCTCTTTCTCCCTCTCCCTCTATCTCTCACTAGGAGCACAGCCATTGACTGGAAATCCAAAAGGAAAAAAGTGAATAAATTGAGTAGTCAGCTTATGCAGGAGGAACTACCTCATGAAATTTTAAAACGTTTAAGCATACTATAGAGTAAATAAATTCCTACCTTATGTAGAACATCACCAGATATGAAATTCGAACCAACTATATCAACAATTGCAGGTGCCAGTCTTTATCTAACAACTCTTGTGAGGAATTTCCTCATTCTCTCTGTGTTGATGGAGACCTCCAAAGAAATGTGGACGCTCCCAGGGTGAACTATATTCTATATGGAACACTTTCCACACAACCTGAAACTCTAGAGTAAAACTTTCCGCCTGTCTCTTAGAACATCTGACCCCTTATATCCCTTAGAATTTGTTATTTCCAATTTTTTCCATCCACTCTGAAATCTCGTTTAGGATTTGCCCTTCTTGATTCCACTCTAGCGATAAGCTTTGCTCCACATTTCTGAAAAAAAAGCCATCCCAACAGCCCACACACCTGGGAGGTGGGATGGAGAGACAGCAGAGGAAAGGTTGGGGCTGGGAACACAAGCATTCTTTTGCTATTAGAAAGAAAAAAAAGCAAACGTTTTGGATAAAGCAGGAAATACAAATATTTACAAGAATAAAATACAGCTCTGTATTTAAAAAACACAAAGGTATCTCTGAGACATCTGGTATGCCGATTCTGCGTTATACTGAAGCTCCTGGAGCACTACCCCCTGTCGTCTTGGCATGGACAGTGAGTTGGTGCTGGGTGGCTTCTTCAATGCTCTGAAGCAGGTAGTTTTCCCACTGCTTCACCCGCTCCATCTCAGCCGCCAGCTTCTTCAGGTCTCGTCTCTTCCTCCAGGCTGTGCTGGGAATCCCCGGCAAACCGGGATTTCGCGTCCAGCTCCCCACTTGCAGGGACTCCCTGCTTTGCTGTTGCTGCTGCTGCTTCTGCTGCTGGCCCAGTGAGGTCGACACTAGCAAGTCTTCTACAGGATCCAAGTGGTCAGACTCGTGCCCTAAGTCCCCACTGGACCCCTGGGAGTCCCAGATGGTAGAAAGCCTCCTCTTTCTGAAGGTGGTGGAGGCTGGAAGACCCTGAGAAGAGTGCGTAGGCATTGGTGACCCACAGGCAGGACCGCCTTCACTGATAATGGAGGCATCTCCTGATAGCCTCATGCTGGAGCGAAGGGTCTCTTTCTCAGGGGTGTTGTATTTTATGAACTTTCTCAAGGGTGCCCGTTTCATTGAGAAAGGCTCTGGAGCTCAGACCAGTTCAATCCAAGAGCCTACGCCACGGGATCCAGCCGATTCCCACAGGGCGATTGCCTGGACGGTTATAGAACGTACCCATGCGCTGAGCCCAGTGCTCAAAGTATTCGTGGCTCTCACACATGCCCCAGCCATTATGCCTTCTTTCTTGTGGCAAGATCTACAAATCTTATGTTTAGAGCTACCCTGGAATTTCCTCAAATATTTAATACTCTCGTGCATTCAGTTATTGTCATTCCCCTCTAGCAGCTCTAGTTCGTGACTCCTGTGTTGTCAGATGACACATCCTTTGGCTGCTCAGCACCTTTACATGGTTTGTTGATTTTCTACATCGGCTCTGTCACACTCAGTGCAGAGGTATCTCAAATGGTGACAGTTCTACAAGTAATGGAAGTTGAAATGGTCACCTATGGAGCAGCAGTAGACAAACAGGCTGGGACCAAGGAAAGGTCTGGTGTTCAGCCAAGCCTCACCAATAGAAATAGGCCTTCTTGACTTGCTGGTCAGGTCATTCTGGCACACACACAGAGGCCCACAGACCTCTGTGGCTGAGCTCTTCTCAGGATTTACCATCTCTGCATCTCAGCCTAGGTCTCTGAGTTGTCTTCCAGATATTGGTTCAGTTACTTTTTTTTTTTTTTTTTAATTACCAGAGTACATATGTACTCAGAGAGTGAGAAAGTACCCTATAATAGGACATGATTGTGCCACAACCCTTTTCCTTTCATTTCTCCACCCTATTAGGATTTTGAGCACTTACGCACATGAGCCTGTTGTGCTTTTCAAGCCACCAGGGTCAGGATTTGAACCATTGTTGGCCATGTGGGATCCAACTCCCTATCCATAACACTTAACCCTATCCATAACACTTAACCAATAAGCTACAGGGCTGATCTATTGTTCAGTTCTTGAGAAAGTCCTGTACCAGTCCCTCTAATCAGACTCCAGTTAGAATCCAAAGCCTTATATGTTCCTGGACACCCATAGGAACTGCATCCATATTCCTCTGGAGAGGAATTATAAGTTAGAGAGTAAAGAGTTCAGGTTAGAATGTTTTTGGAATTATCCTGTCTTAACTTTATCTCAACTCCTTAAATTGATTTGTTTAAGCTACAACAAATAAGAAACAAAAAAAACTTTATCAGGATCATGAAATTCAGAACAGTTTGGGATATTCTGATAAATATCTTTAAAGACAGTTTTAGCTTAAGTTAGGTTATATATAATGCATTTTTGAGACATCAATCAAGAGAGATTTTTTTCTGCTCACTTTTTCATCACTGGAAATTTTCTTAAGTTGTTAGTCTTCTGGGGCTTAAATGCAGAAAATGTTCTACTTTCACACATTATCATTTTAGCAGCTTCAGTTTCAGTTTCATTCCTGGCTTTCTGCAAAGGTCAGTCTCCTACTCTCTTGCTTACATTTACACTGATACTATTATCTATCCATTCTATAAGTTGAACTGTTCAGGTAAAGAGATCTTTATTTTTTAAGAGATTTTTGCCATAGGGTGCATGCACTCACCACAGAGACAGAAAGCAAAAAATCACCCCCCCCAGGAGGGATGGCTATGCTGTAGTCCCTTCTCCTCCGTTTTCCTCTCAGGATTTTGGTCACATATACACCAGCATGAGTTTCATTGGACAGGTGTGGCACTTGAACCACAATTGGCCACATGGGAGTCCAGTGCCTTAACTACTAAACCACCTGCTGACCACAAATGAAGAGATTTATTGGAGGACTTAGACAGGGACAAAGGATAAGTTGAAAACAATGCATCCAAAGACCTCAAGTAGATTATATTATCATTGTTTCATCGGAAGATCTTCTTTGTTGTTCTTACGATCCAATATTTATGTGTGATTAGCCTCTCTAAATTAACTATGTGGAAAGTAGTCAAAAATCATCTCAACAGCTTTCTGTGCAGATAACAGGCCCACAAGCATGGTGAACATCCCTAAAACCTACTGGACCTTTTGTAAGAAGTATAGCAAGCACCAACCTCATAAAGTGACACAGTTCAAAAAGGGCAAGGATTCTCTGTATGCTCAGGGAAAGCGGTGTTATGACAGGAAGCAGAGTGGCTATGGTGGACAGACTAAGCCTATTTTTCCAGAAAAAGGCAAAAAACTACAAAAAAGATTGTGCTGAGGCTTGAATGTGTTGAGCCCAACTGCAGATCTAAGGGAATGCTGGCTATTAAGAGATGTAAACATTTTGAACTTGGAGGAGATAAGAGAAAGGGTCAAGTGATCCAGTGCTAAGTCTCGTCTTTTTTATTATGAAGATGACAAAATATAGAGGTGGATGTTCACCTCATTTGATTACAGTTTGTCTTTTTTTGAGGAAATAAGATAGTCAATTAAATTCCCCTTTGGGAAGCAAGCAAACAAAATTTAGCTAGGAAGGAGTATAAAAACAATTGTTACTCACTAATATTCTTACCATAGTGTAAGTGTGCATGTGTTTGCAGCTGATTTGAGGGGTGAAAACAGAACAAGGATTTCCAGGGTGGCCCAATGACAGCAAGCTGCCAGCTAATATCCATTTGTACCTTCTTCCTTAGTAATTGTTTGTTTGTTTGTTTGTTTGTTTATTTTACCCTGAAATGTATTCTCCACCTCCCTCAAAACTTGATGTGGTCATATGAGTGACTATGTTTTAGGCAACAAAAAGTAAAAAAGCTATGACTCCTTAAAATGACGACAGTGTGCTGTTTTCCCTTACTTCTTCCTGTTGCACAGAATGCTGACTTACTGTCTAGAGCTCCAATAGCCACTTTGGAGCTCAAGATGTTTTCAAGGGTAGAGGCCAAGAACTGAGATGAGAGAGCAGAATGACAGAAAAATCTATAGACAGACTAAGCCTATTTTCCAGAAAAAGGCAAAAACTACTGATAACCATACAGCTTTCATATCAGTTCTGGTTGTGTATCTTTAGGTATCTTTTAGTCAAGAGTGAAACAAGTTTCTATTTTTCTCTAAACCATCATTATAGTGGATTTCTATTTCAATCAGCTAAAACACTATCCCCAAGTATCCCATAAAAACATTTACAAAATATTTGAGTATCTTACAAAATATAGTAAATATTTTCTTCTAATTCTAGCTCGAATTAATTTAGCTATCACTACTATCTAATTACTTTATTGGCACTCAGTCAACATTAAGATAAAGAACAATATTTTCTGTGCTGGTCCCAAAGCTCAGCAGTTAAAGGAGCCAGAATCCACACAGCTGCCCAAAATTCAAGTCCCAGCCCCAGCAGCTTGAAAAACACCAAGTACATATGCATACATGACTAAAATCTTGAAGGAAAGGAGTGAAGAAACAAGGATCACAGCATAATCATCCACTATAAGAGGGTACCTTCTCTCTGTTTCTCTCTGAGCATGTACACCCACTTTGGCAATTAAAAAAATACAAAGAAAAATATTTTTAACACTTCAAATAAAAACTAGGTATGCCCACATATATTCTAAAACATTTATAAATTCTAATGTAGACAAAACCAAACTGCAAGAGAAGCTACTCCATTTAACTTTTTCCAAGTCCCCATTGTGCAAAACAGAATTGCCTGTTTTTTTATAGATAATGTATTATACTATTTTCATGAAATAAATGATACCAATATGCCCATACAGTAAAATAATAATCCACAGAGTCATAACAATCATTTTATAACATATGTATATTAAACCAAGAATGTAAAATAGAAAAGCGATCCTTGACATAACTCAAAAAGAAATCAGGCACTTGGGACTGATTTCTACATTACAAATGTTTTTATCTAATGAGGAGCTGCAGATTCTTTACATGGCCAACCATGGTCAAGTCTCAGTCCCAGCAGTTTGAAAACCACAGTGAGGGGTCAGCAGGTTTCGTAGTGGCTAAGATGCAGGACTCCCACACAGTCAACTGCGGTTTGAGTCCCAGACCTGTCAGCTTGAAACCCATGGTGGGTTTATGTGCCCAAAGTCCCTACAAGAGACTGGAGGAAAAGGGAATGCAATGTGGCCAAACTCCTCCCCCAGCAGGGGGGGAGATTATTTCCCACTTTCTCTCTTTCTACCTCTCTGTAGAGCAAAATCTCTCTAAGAGAAAAGGAAGGAAGGGGGAAGGAAGGAAGGAAGGAGAAAGAGGAAGAAGAAAACAACAACAAAAACACTGGATACAAGTACACATACATCCAGAATCCTGACAGCATGAAAAACTTGAGGGAAAAAAAATTACTGGAGTGTGACCAGACTGGGAACTATGTGTGCACACTCGCCTCTTTTTTTCTTTTTTCTTGCTCCCCCTCTTATGTGTGCATGAGTACCCCTTAACTTAATAAAAAATAAAAAACAAAACTCATTCTTATATCAAATAACAATAACACAACTCCAACATTTACCACCAAAACATTTCTTTTAAATAATAACTACTTACAAGTAGTTAAATTTTTCATATTTATCATGCTCCCCAAAGTAAGAATACTATCCAAGTTACTAACATTTAAAATCAAATTAAATAAAGCTGAATTTTAATTTTACTAAAAAATATTTTTTTAAAAAAATACTTACAGGCGATATCTTGTCATTATTTTCACAATTAGAAGACAAAATCCTACATTTTTGATAAATATCAATCAGATCTAACATATTACTGTTCTTCAAGAAATCATCATAAATCTTCCTAATGTCTTCATAATGGTTAATTGCCTCCATATTTTCAAGTGGTAAGTTCAATTTCTCATGTAGTAAGTATTTCCAGGCCAATAAGACATCACTGAGAGAGACTGTAAATTCTCCATAGTGCTGAAAGAGATGATGCAAAAAAATAAATAAATGAAGCTAGGTGACAGATTTATTAATTTATAATTAAAATCGAAAGTACACATTTAATTTTTTTAATATAAAGTCTACATTGAATTCCTATGGGTTTAAAGAGAACATACAAGTTGAATTATGGGGTAATTGTAAAATGCAGAAATAAAGGGAAAATTTTTGGTGATTTTATAAATTATGAATAACTAAGGCCAGTTTATACAAGACAAATTGGCAAATAATTAATTATTGTCTTATTTTCTGAATATAACTAAATTTTTTCTACTCAATCTAGAGGGATGAATGTGCAATGAACTGTTCTTAAGTAATACTGATTAAGGAAATATATTGATTCTGCTATATTTAGTTCCCTTAGCACTTTTAGGTAGTATATTTTAGTCTCTTATTTTAAATGATCTATGCCATACTGAATTACTACATAGCACAATATTGCAATTATTAGTCTTAAAATACGATCAACAAGATTTTTAAAATTATTTTCTACTTCATTACTATTATAAGAAAAACAAAATATCAGTGCTAAAACTTTGAGCCAGGGAATAATTTTTATTCTTCCCTGCTCCTGGACACACTGGACTGTAACAAATGAGTGCTGAAAAGCCACAGTCAGGTATCTTTCTAGTAGTTGTCAGATGTTACTGATCAGGGAAAATTGTTCTTTTTCTTTCTCTTTTTTGACTGACTTTATATTTTTCCCAAAAGAAATAAAATGAGCTGTAGTCTGGCTTCAACAACAGATAGTTGCTTAGAGACCTACTAATGTTACTAGCATGTTTGCATGTCAATATTTCATCTCACTATAAAGTGTTCTTTAAAGCCTCTTCTTCAATGACCACAAGGATAAATTCTCTCAGTGGACATGCTGAAGGTTTGTTTTTTATTGATCGCATTCTGCTCCCACAATATGTCAAATATTAATAATGGTGCCTTCCAAAAAATGCCAGCCCTAATTCAGTAAAATATCCTAACTACTCTTTCCATTGCAGCAGAAATATTTTTTAAGTATCCATATGTGGTTTAGTGACATGTAATATGTTGTTGTCTTCCACAGGTAAGTTCCTTTAATACATTTATAGTTTTGGGGACCCAGCAGTTGGCGAATGGCAATGTCTCTGGACTCCCATGTAGTCGACTGAGGTTCGAGTCCCGGACCCGGTGGCTTAAACTCAGCACATGCATGCCCAACATCCCAAGAGGAGAATGGAGGAGAAAGGATTGTGGTGTGGACATCCCCCATGGGGTGGTGGGTGTGATTTCTCGCTTTCTGTCTCTCTGTCTCTCTCTGTCTTTCTGGCAAGCACACGCGCCCTATAACCAAAACCTCTTCTAAATAAATAAATAAATAAATACATTTATACTTTTTAACATCAACATCTTTTCATTAATTGTTTTAAAAGATGAATGGGTATTTAAGTGGAATCACAATTCACTGGAAACAAATTGTAATATTTTCTTTAACCCCCCCCAAAAAAGAATAATAGAAAGAAATCAATCACAGCTTAAAAACACAATATTTTCTATACCTTGTACTCTTTTAAATCTATCGAAATTTGAAATTAAGTGTCTGAACTGCTTTAAAATAATTGGCTCTTTTCTCATCCATAAGACACAACTAAGAAAAGTATTCTTATTATCTTTAGGATAGAGGTCTGTTATATCATGAATATAAAAATTAACTACATACCATAAAACTAGTTCAATGAACAACCAAAAATAAGATCTCAAATCTTGGATCTGTAAGAAAAAAAAAAAAAAAAAAGGACACATAATGATTACATCACTGGACTCTCATGTAGTCGACCACAATTCAAGTTCTGGGCCAGGTAGCTTAAAACTTATGCTAGGCGTGTGTACATACATGCCCAAAATCCTGAGATGAGAATGAGGAGAAAGACTGCAGTGGGGCCATCCCCACCCCACCCCAGGCGGGCATGATTTCTGGCTTTCTGCCTCTCCAGTGAGCACGCATGCCCTGTAGCAAAAATCTCTCACAAAAAAAAAAAAAAGTACTCTTTCCTTCTTAGGACCAGCAGATGGTGGAATGTTTACATAGCTGGACTTTCACATAGTCAACAGTAATTCAAGTCCTGGACCTGGTGGCTTAAAACTCACACGGGGCATATGTGTGTGTGTGTCTGTGTGTGTGTGCCCAAAATACTGAGAGGTGATAGGAGGAGAAGGGATTGCAGTGTTGCCATCCCCCTGGGGGGAGATTTCTCACCTTCTGTCTGTCTTGTCTCTATGCCAAGCACATACTCCCTATAGCAAAAATCTCTCAAAAAAAAAAAAAATTGTACACTTTACTTCTGAAAGCCACCAAGTTTATACACTAGAGAATTTCCAAAGGGTATTTACAATAAATTAAATTAATCCAGTTATTCAGTTTCAAAACTAAGTCGTTTTATCTCAAAAATTCCAAAAACTATTTTTACTATAACATCCTTCATATTTAAAGTAAATTAAGATTTTTGCCTAATGTAAATGTGCAAATTATTCTCACTCTATTGACTATAACTAGTTAAAGAAAAAGTATGTGAGCTCTTGATTGTCTCAGAAGAGGTTTTGACTAGATTAACAGTATTTATACTGGGAATGTAAAAACATTTTAAATCCAAATAAAAATGCACTCCAGATATCAGTTTTCATGATCAGGTGCCCATCATGACAGCATATTCTATTATTCAAACCAGTAACAACTGATTGAGAGAGTCTGTGGTCAAATCAGAAAATGTTTTGCTAGGAAAACATGCCAGCTGGCTAATATAGGAAGGAAGTTCAAAATGTTCAATGCTTTAATTCTCTGATGAACAGAAGAAGGATTGTATTTCACAAGAATAAAATGAGAAAAGCAAGAGTTACACATTTTCCAAAGCACTTGTACTTTGTGTATTGTATCAAGGTTATTTTTATAACAATTCAAAAATCTAAGTAAAGTTTATTTTTTTAAGATTTCTTTTGCCATAGAGCATGTATGCTCACTGCAGAGACAGAGACAGAGACAGAGAAAGTGAGAAATCACTCCCTGATGGATGGCTATGCTGCACTCCCTTCTCCTCTTGGGATTTTGGGCATACACGCACATGCTTCACTATGATTTTCAAGTCACCAGGTCCAGGAATTGAACCACAGTCAGCCATATGGGAGCCCAGTGCCTTAACCACCACAGCAAATACTGGCTCCAGCAAGCTTAACTTTTTTTTTTTTTGGAGAGGTTTTGGCTATAGGGCGTGTGCGCTCGCCAGAGAGACATAGAGACAGAAAGCGAGAAATCACCCCCCAGGGAGGATGGTCACACCGCAATCCCTTCTCCTCCATTCTCCTCTCGGGATCTTGGGCACGCACACACACCTGCCTGGCGTGAATTTTAAGCCAACGGGTCTGGGACGTGAACCGCGGTCAACTACGTGGGAGACCAGCGACATAGCCATTACGCTAACTGCTGGTTCCCAGCATTTTTAAACTAAACTTTTTATCATTTGAGGTAAGATAATAGGTCCACTTGTGAGCACTAATGAGCTGTATGACATTGGGTAAGACACTGAAATCCCTGTCTGATTTGTACAGAGTAAGCAACACCTAATAAGTGACAGGTGAACGATATCCTATAAAATAAATCACCAGACAGATTCAAACTATGAAGTTAATTGCAAAGAAACAAAAGGTCAAAATATGATTTACCACCTAATGAAGTCATATGTACTTGCCATATAATAGAGTCAACATTCCTCAATGAACCTTAACAGGTTAACCTTTAGCAGTATTAAACTGCTGTGGTGGCATTATTCAAATCAAGCTACAAAATTTTTCCCACTCAAAGAAACTTACCAAAAACCTAAAAGCCAAATATTATTATAATATATCTTTTTTTTTTCCTCTCAAGCACTTAAGAAAATAAACACCATCAGACAGACTAACAACTCTACTAGGTGTTCAAAAGTCTTAATTTAGGCGAATTCAATGATAAGGACAATACTTTAGGATTCATGTTCTCAAACTTCAGAGAATTAAAAATCTAAATAGAATTCAGAAGATAGAAAATATCAGTAAATAATATCTACAACCAATCCAGCCTTTTACTGCATGCTACTTGTGAATGCACCTGCAAACATATCTGTATATTTTTTTCATAGTGTTGAATAGCCTCAATTTCCCTCTCTTTGATTAGACTATTCCAATTATACACCATCTTCAAAATTTATTACTTATCTTAGTGCCATTTCTTCAGACTACTAAAGAAAGCCAAATTTTTAAAAAGAAAGAAAAAGGCAATAAAACTGGCAAGATACGGACTGCAATAAACAAAGGAGACTATAGAATGAACCTTGGGTGTCTAACTTCAGTGACTGAAGTAAACAATAGTATGTATCATTAAAAAAAGAAACACATGAATGAGAAGGAAAGTTGAGAAAATAATGTACTCTATTTTTAAAAATTTATGCGGAGATGGTAATACGGCATCAAGATGAGTAAGTCCAGTTGGATTTGATCATACCAGACATAAGAGAGATCTCACAGATAAATTCTAGTGGGATAAAGACAGGGAAGTGTAACCAATGAAAGCAAATAAAATGAAGCAGACTAGATAATATTAAAGGAATTAAGAACTTGCCACCATAAATTATGCCACTCTAACCTATTGATAATTTCAATTAAAAGCCTCTAAAAAACAACAGATACAAGAAGATCACTCTGAACGTCCTTCTATTTCTTAAAAGCAGATTAAATTCCCACATGAAAGAAAAATGCTCTTTCTACACCAGAAAGAACATAACGCTCATCATCAAAGATAGGAAATTGAGGCCAAGGAAAATATGTATAAATATTCCTTGTTAAATTAACCTTTATCTTTCTAACTATATCTCATTCCAATTACCTACCCTAACCTCTTTGTCTTTTCACATTTCATTTTATAATTCTTTGTTCAATTCACTAGTACATAAGTGTTCAACTCTCATTCATCTTTGGGTCAA